TAGTGTCGGAAATGACCTGTACAACAGCGATCATTATCCCATTTTTGTGTCTCTTGCACGAAGAAGAGCAAACCCCATGTCGAGACTCCCTCGTTTATACTGGACAGGGCAGACTGGGAACTCTTCTCTTCCATTGCAGAGCTCACAGAGGAAATGGTAGAAGATGTGCATATCGATGACGCTGTTGAAGCTGTTACTAATACTATTATTCAGGCAGCTATGCTTTCGATTCCTAGAACATCAGGAAAAAAATACTAAAATATTCGAAACCATGGTGGAATCGCGACTGTCATAAAGCACTGAAAAAACAGAAAAAAGCATGGGGTATTTTTCGTAGATATCCTACTCTGCGAAACCTCATAGCTTTTAAAAGAGCCAAAGCAAATGCACGAAAAGTAAGAAGGCAGAGCCAGAGGGATTCCTGGATTTCATATGTGTCCTCAATAACATCCTCTACGCCTAGTAAGCGGGTTTGGGAAAGAGTTCGAAAAGCATGCGGAATGTATAAAGACCACTCACTTTCCTTTTTGGAAAAAGATGGCCGAGTGATTAGCTCCATAGAAGAAATTGCAAATAATTGGTGAGACATTTGCTGCCGTTTCTTCCAGCCAGAAACTACTCACCTGCATTTCTTTCTATCAAGCAACGCTCTGAAATAAATCCCATCGCTTTCAACTCTTCCAAATCTGAGCCGTACAATAGAGACTTTACTATGGCTTGAATTAAGGAGAGCTTTGTTGCAGACACATAGGTCTTGTCCGGGTCTGGATGGCGTGTATTATGAAATGCTAAAGCATCTGTCCTATAAGTCACTGAGTGCCCTTCTCACTTTACAATAGAGTGTGGAAGGAGCGTACATTTCCCAGTGCATGGAGGAGAGCTGTTGTCATTCCTATTGCGAAGCCAGGGAAAGACCCGAGGAATCCCTCGAACTATCGGCCAATTGCCCTTACCAGTTGTTGCCTTGCAAACTGTTTGAAAAGATGGTAAACAGCCGCCTAGTCTACTTCTTGGAAAAGAATAATATTATATCGCCTTATCAGAGCGGTTTTCGAAAGGGGAGAACAACCGTAGATAATATGCTCCTCTTAGAGACATCTATTCGAAAAGCCTTTGTAAGAAAAAGTCACCTTGTCTCAATATTCTTCGACATTGAGAAAGCTTATGATAAGGCATGGAGATACGGTATACTCCGGGATCTTCACGAGAGTGGCTTGCGCGGCAACCTACCAATTTTCATTCAGAATTTCTTGAACGCTAGAACTTTTCAAGTAAGGATTGGCTCTGTTTTTTCGGATGTTTTTGAACAGGAAGAGGGTGTGCCTCAAGGCTGTGTGCTTAGTGTAACGCTGTTCAGTTTAAAAATAAATTCTGTATTAAAAGAACTTCCTCCCACCATCTTGGGATCACTATATGTTGATGATTCTACAGATTAGCTGTCGAGGGTCAGACATGAGATATGTAGAGGGGTAATTCCAGATGGCTCTGAATAAGATCCAAGAATGGTCAGACAAACAGGGATTTACTTTTTCGAAACAGAAAACTGTGTGCGTGCACTTTTGTAGGAAGCGAGGTCTCCATCCTGAACCTGAGTTATATCTAAATGGTACAATTATTCCAGTTGCGCCTGAAGTAAAATTTTTAGGAGTGACGTTCGACCGAAAATTGACTTTCCTTTCTCATGTTTTAAACCTGAGAAAGAAGTGTCTAAAAACACTAAATATTTTAAAAGTGTTGGCGAACACCTCCTGGGGTGCAGAGCGTTGCTCCATGCTTCGCATTTACAGAGCGCTTATCCGCTCTAGACTGGACTATGGCTCAGTTGTTTATGGATCCGCTCGGTCATCTGTTTTGTTAAAACTGGATCCTGTTCACCATCAAGGTTTGAGGATTTGTTCAGGAGCCTTTCAGGACTTCTCCTGTCCAGAGCCTGTATGTTGACTGTAATGAACCATCACTTTATCTGAGGCGTGAACAATTGTCCCTTTTGCAATATTTTAATATTACTATCCCAACCTGAACATCCCAATAAGCTGTGCTTACTTGATGATGTGAGTAACGCGTTATTTGAAACACGTCCATCTTGTGTTCCTACATTTCTTTTAAGAGTTCGCCCTGTCATTGAGGAACTTTCCCTCTCTGATATGCACCCCCAAGCAGTACAGAATTTTGAAATCCCACCTTGGGAAAATGCACGGATTCAGCTTCTTGATGTTTTTAAGTATCATGTGAAGGCAAGCACTAACGAGATTATTTACAGACAACTCTTCGCTGCTGAGCACAGGAACAAATATAGCAGTTATCTTCCAGTTTATACAGATGGGTCCAAGTCAAAAGATCATGTCGGGATGGCATTTGTAATTAAAGACCACATGGAGGGCAGACGCTTGCACAATGCTTTCTCTGTCTTAACATCCGAACTAACTGCGATATATTATAGTCTTTTATACATCTCAAGGCTCTGCTACAAAAAGTTTATAATTTATACAGATTCGTATAGTGCTCTTAAATCAATAGAAGCTTTTCCTAATACTCAAAATCCAGTAATAGTGGATATTCTCAAAATACATATAAACTTAATGAATCGTGGATATGAAATCCTGTACTGCTGGGTTCCCGGGCATGTGGGAATAAAAGGGAATGAGCTGGCAGATATCACAGCAAAATGTGCTGTTGAACTGTCCAGTCGTCTCATCCCTTTTGCAGACATTCTGTTGTGTTGTGAAACAAAAGATCCGAAAAAAATGGCAAGCAACTTTGGGATGTTCAGCTTCAAAATAAATTAAGACATGTAAAACCTAGAATTGAGCACTGGGAATTAACCAAAAATCGTAAGGAGGAAGTTCTTTTGACTCGCCTCAGAATTGGTCACACTAGAGTGACACATAGCTACCTTTTTAAAAGCTGAAAATGAGCCTGTTTGTTTTAACTGTAATGTTTGTTTATCTGTTCGTCATATTTTAATTGAGTGTCCATGTTTTAATAGTCTTCGCCAGAAATATTTTAATAGCTGTGACTTACCTCTCGACCGTTTAATCGGAAGAGAGGTCAATTAATTTATTTTATTATTTAAAAGAGATTGGCTTTTATTACCAAATGTAATTTGTTTTGAAGACTGTGTCTTGAATTTTAATATGTGCTTTTAACTTGTTTTATATGACTTCATCCTCTGGATTTGGTACATTTATCTACTTGTTTTTATTTATTGAATTTTAAGTCATGAATTGTAATCATCCCATCTCGTGTTTGGCGCACTATAATCATCTTTGTTTTTTGCGCCATAATTTCTCACTCACTCACTCACTCACTTATTCCATGTAACAGAAGGATTGTCTGAAAATTGAACTAAGAATAATTTACAGAAGATCAGATTTCAGAAATATGACTGGTTTCATTAGTCTTATACAATTTATTATAGAAAACAACTTACAGACTGCATTTTTGGAAACCTATAAACTGCTGCTAATTATCTATACTCTTCCTGTGACCACTGAAGAAGCTGTGAGATGCTTCTTAATTCTAAAACCAAGTAAGACATTTTTGAGAAGCACTAAATGCAAAGACAGACTGAGCGATCTAGCCATGCTCTCAGTTGAAAAAAAGCTTAATAAATGATTTCCTTAAATTCAATGAAAACATTATTGATTTGCTTGCCTAAAAAAAAAAGGGGGGGGAAGTGGATTTAATGTACAACAATTGTACTTGATTATTTTGTAATTGACATTTAAAGAAAATATATTGGAAGCAATATTATGATTTTATTACATTCCCTTATCAGAAATAAAATGCTAATATTTTTTTGCCTATGAGAACTTGTTTTCTTTAAGTTACATTGTTTTTCTTTAGCTTGTGAAAACATAAATGTATTTCAACTTGTAAGATACGTCATATCTGTGTGTTTAATTTTCAGATTTGTTTTCTGAACCTCTCTTTAAATAACACTTGAGCTGCCACTGGTTACAATATAATTTTTTTCTGTTGCTTATCGATACCATTAATTTCTTTAACTTCTCTGAAATATATTTATATTGAACTCTTAACAATACATCCTGATTAATGTCCAGATAATCCATGAATGTCAACTGTAATGCTGTAATTAATGTACAGGTATCTTACAAAACCAAAATGAATTCATCAGAGATTGTTAAATGGTAACATACTTTGTGTTCTTTAAAATAAGATTTACTTGAAGAAATATTAAAATTTGAATTAACTTCTAGTTTTTGTTTTGAAAATCATTCACAGCCCTCTAAGTGGCACTTCATTTTAATCTGCTCATAAAGAGTTCTAGATTAAGTAGCACAATTTATACAGTTACTTATTTTACTCTTTATTTTTATAGCGTTTCTTTCATTCAGATGACATTTATATCATTAATGGGTTTTTAAACAATATTGCAAATACTTATGATGTCATTAAATTTGTATTCAAGTTATAAAAGAGGGTTTAATTGAAGTAGTAATAAAATTTGAATTAATTTTTAGTTTTTGTTTTGAAAGTCATTCATAGCCCTGTAAGTGGAGCTGTTTTTTAATTTGCTCATAAAAGCTGTATTTAAACAAGATTTAATAGCTGGATTTATGCAATCACTTATTTTACTTTGTATTTGTTCATTCAATTTATGTCTATATAATTAATGGCTATTTTAGACAGCGCTGCAAATACCTACATTATCATTAAATTTGTATTCTATTTATTCACTGATATGGTCTTAGCAGCTGCTTTACACATTCCAATATTCAACTTGTTAGTTTCTCTTGATTTAATGTATAAAAAATATCTCCGATTGGTAAATTTTTGTAGCTTTTACAACTTTTGTCTTATGCTTTCTTCTCCCTCCTGCATTTTCAAAATTTTGAGCACCAACAGTATTTTCAGATTTTTATTGCTGTCACCTATTCATCAGTAGTCAGGAAATGAAATAAAGTAGTTTGTTAAAATTTTGATGCATAACATTATCAATGTTTCAAATATGCCACATGTTGTAAAATCATATGATTTTGTTTTATTGTTTGTTATAGTCTATGTTATTTTAAAATAACTAAAAGTTTTTGATTTCATAGATGAACAACTGTTAAGAGCTGCAAAAATTGGTAATGAAAAAGAAGTCATAAGGTATGCTATTTCTAAGGTCCAGAAAACTTATTTTTAAATTTATTTTTCAGGTTAATGTTTTATTTATCATAAACTAAATAAAGAAATATTGATGTTTAAATTCAATTTATTTGATTATATAATTTCACAAAATATTAAATTTTTCCTCTAGGATCTTAGTATTTATTAACTGTGATAGGCATGTATAAGAGAGATTGAATCTTTGACTATGTTGAATGAGGGTTATATGGAAAATAAGTTCTGTGATATAATAATTCCTGCACCCAATATCATGACTTCAGTGACTAAAGAAATCGTCATAACAGAAATGTTCACATGGTGAAGCACTGACATATGTCAATCTAAGATGATTCAGACTGCAAAAGGTTCCACTGACTGTGAAATTCATTCCATAATTTGCTTTTTGAATATGGCAAAACTGTATGGCAATACAACTATGAGTATGGGAATGATTAGAAGATAGCTTTGATTGTTCAATTCAGGTGGAACAAATGTGCACGATGAAGTGAGAAGTGACTGGTCATCTGCTGTGATGGATGAACTGTTTTGTCAGATTGATAAGAAAAGTCATTCAAATAGTTGTTTCACTGTCTCGTGTTTTTCTTTGGTGTTTCCTGAAGTTTCATGTAATGTTCTATATGAAATGCTTAGGTTATAAAAAATGTGTGCACAGTGGGTATCAAAAATGCTTACACTGTAGCATAAAGGTAAAAGTTTTACTGCTGCTTTGATCTTTCTAAGCTGATATGATGCTGATGGAAACAGACTGTTGAACTGCATTGTCACTGACCACGACACCTGGATTTCCCATGTCATGGTGTCATCAAAACAACAATTAGTGGAATGGAAGTACCCTCCCTTGCTTATCCGGCAGAAGTTCAGATGGACCATTTGCACATGCAAAATCTTTTTGGGACAGAGATGGTATATTGGTGGATTTCCCACCCAAAAATAAAACCATCAATACCATTGCTTAAGGTGTGATATTGAAAAAAATCTGTGAAATGCCATTCAAAACAAGAGACATTGCTTGCTTAGTGATGGTGTTATTTTATTGCATGATAATGTCAGGCCACATTGTGCTTGTGTAGTTCAAGCTTGCATTGAATATTTTGGTGGTGAACAAATGAATCATTCACCATAAAGCTAGATGTGGCATCAAGTGAGATGTGATCAAGTGACCTATTCAAGTGCAATTCTTGAGTAGCCAGTGTTTTGGTCACATTGTGTGCAGCCACTTTCTATGATACTGGAATACAAAAAACCTCAGTACTTCAGTGTTGCTATGGAAACAGCACGCAAAGTTTTCATTTTGTAGAATTGAGTTCTGCACCTGCGTTGGGTGATGTGGTGTGCTGGAGAGAGATATTACAGAGTATGTGAAGAGATGCAGCATTTTTGCTTTTCGTCAGATTGTTGTTATGCTGGACATGATTATGGTGTGGTGGAAGGTATTGTTATACTGGATATGATTATGGTGTGGTGGAAGGTATTGTTATACTAGATAAAGTTTATTTTTATAAATTTGTCTTCTGCTTCACCACTAAAACTCTACAATATAATAAATGCCTTAATGGACTGAGCGACTTTGTTAGAAAGTAGTGTAATGTTTTTAAATCATTATTAAATCCATATCTTTCTCTGTTTCCTTTTACACATCAGAACTTACTCTCTGAACAGTCCTTGTACATGTGTATATAGGGGGGCACATGAAAATTGGAACTGATATTCAATCCTTAAATTAATTGGTTGTAAGTATATTTTATAATACATTTCTTATGGTGGCCCGCGGGTCGCATGCGGCCTTCTTATTCATTTTGTTGGCCCTTACCCTTCTTACTGGGAAAAAAAAGTTAGGTAATCATTTGGTGGGGAAAAAAAAGACCCTTCTTACTGCTTTAAATAATAAATATTAAATATAATAGTTAAATAATGAAAATTATATGGCTCAGTGAGACAATGAAAACTGTTGTAAATATAATAAATTTAATGAGGCAAAGCCCAGAAACAGAGAGCATTTATTGCATTTGTGGACAGTTTGGATGCTGAGTATGGTGACATTTCCTGTCTGTCAGTGTACTGCTAGTGCTGAGAAATTGTCTGCAACAGTTCTTTGGGTGAGGAATGAAATTCTCTTCCTCAAAAAAGAAAACTTGGGCTGAGTATCAGAAAAATTTGAAGAAATCCAGTTTTAAATAATCTTGCTTTTCTGACGATTTAACATCCCATCTAAATGCTTTAAACTTAAAACTAAAAGGCAGCAAAAAATATATCCCAACTTTATGGACATATTGAAGGCTTTTGCAAAAAAAAAAAAAAAAAAAAAAAAAAAAAGTAATGAAAACTGCACTGAAGGCAACTATTACGCCACACCTCCCATTTTGCAAGCAGCTGAAAGAAGAAAATGACACAAATTTTAGTATGTTTTGGGAAATAATTACTGATACCAAGAAAGAGTTCCAGGATTTTGACTCCCTAAAAACAAAACTTTCATATTTAAACAACCCCATGGAAGTAAGTGAGGTGCCTTGCGACTTTCAAATGGAAATTTGTGATCTTCAGGCAGATCCATTCGACCAAACTAATAAGTGTGATGTCACTGAACATTTCTTGAAACTGATTTCTAAAGAATGTTTTCTCAAACTGCATAAATTCTCTTTGCAGATGTTATCATTGTTTGGCAGTACATATGTGTGTGAAAGTGCTTTTTCTGCTCTCAAACAAATTAAACCAAAAACGAGAAATCGCATTGAAAGTGCTTCACTGGATTCGAGCGCCAATCATCACATTGATTCCTAGACTGTAAAAAAAAAGTGATATATTAAACTAGTGATTTATATGTAATTCATTTTCTTCCTTTAATGTCTCTGGCCCTCACTCTCCTATACTAATGTTTGATTGGCTCTCGGGTAACTAAAGGTTGGACCACACTGCAATATTATATCATGCTCACTGGAATACCAGCAAATATCCTTTTATTTAAAAAATTCTTGAACGGCCAATGGCCTACTTGATTTATTGGTAAAAACTCTTACGTAGTTGAGACCATTAATTGAAATTAAAGATTTAAGATTCAACAAATATCCTCTTTATTCCTCTTCCTGAGGTCAGTAGTGGTTGAAGGACATATGTCATACTTGAATATGCAAGTTTTTTTGTCTTAATTTGCATTTTTGTATATTTATTACTTTTTTATTTCAAGTATTTAATTTGGTCATAAATCATGAATAGTAACTTTGATATACTTATACATCACTAAAGGCCATTTACCCTGTATAAAGAATGGAGGTATTTATGTGCTATTCTATTTAAGCATCTCACAGCCATCAGCAAGTAATTACACTGATTCACTTGTTAAGGTCCTGCCTATTTCCAAATTACATTTAATATGCTCAGATATGAGGAAGTTCATGAATAAAATGATTAGGCATAGTGAAATCTAAAGTATGTATCCTTGAAACTATTCATTTTCTTTCGTATTGGAAAAAGCACATATTGTATATATTTTACAAAATTTCTCTTCATTTGCCATGCTTTTTACTGAATAGGTTTTTCTCTCACCAAGCCTTCTCCTCTATGAACAGGGGGAATAATATGCAAGATAAAAAAATATGAAACCATAAAATTATTCATTTGTACTTCCCCTCTTTATTCTAATTTAGTAATAACTTTTCCTAAATTGCACTAAAAAACTAACCTACATTATGTCATCTGCATTGCATAGAACTCCTAGTCAACCCTCAAAACTTAAACAAAGGATTTCTGACTTATAGGCTTTCACTGAAATGCTCACTCACTTTTTCTACTCATTTTTGCCTGGCTAGCTCATGTCTCATTGTCTTAATGTATCTTCTATGATTTACAAATGTGATAAGTTTATATAGAATTGTGGGGTGCTTGTTGCACTGATTGTGATGTGAAAAGAAGAAAATGTGTCATAAGAAATTATTAATTAAGAATTAAAATCATGTCTCAAAAAAGTAATCTCCTCATGTAAAAGTTATCTACAAAGTATTCAACATCAGAAAATTTCTTCTTCTATTGCACAATAATGCCACCACCATCAATAAATAACCAGTGGCTTTGATTACAATTATTTATGTCTTCTCACCCACATTCCTAAATCACTACATATACGTGCACATATGTGTTGCATCGCATAGAGCTTTTGGCCAGTCACCATTCAGAACTTAAACAAAGGATTCCAATCTTACAGGCCTAGCTGAAAGGCATAGCTAAATGTTATATGAAGGTATGTATGTGTGTGTTTCTAGGCCACAGACAAGTTAATTGCAGGTGCTCACTTGGCCTCCTTCTAACCAACATTGGCCATCACTGGCACCAAGGCAGAACTGACTTGCATCAGAAAACACAACAGATCTCCAATGAACTGTAGCTTAACGCCACTGACATAGCAAACGAAAGTGGCTTAGAGTCTGTGGAATGTATACTACAGGGTGTCTTGCTTGGAGCTATCCTTCAAGTAACCAATTTGTAAGAGTTCATTATGTCATTGTGTTGCCAACTGCAGCTCGAATTTCTGCAGCAGACATGGTACTATGTGCCACAGCCATATGCCGAACATGGCGGTCTTCCCTCTCAGTACTGCCACCTGGCTGCCTATTACAGAAAGAAAATCCACCACCTCATGACCCTACTACGCGACCTCATTCAAACTCACTGAGCTGTGGATGATGGATCAACTCACTATGTCAAATCTCAATGCTCACGAACTTTACAGTGCATATTTAAAGCAAATCTGATTTGCGTGTTCATAGTGGAGATTCTAGTGTTGTTGAAAAATTTGTTGTGTCTGCCATGAAGCTTCATGAGATCATGTGCTGGCCTAAATGAACATTTCTCAGCAATGAATTTATAAAAAACAGCAATCCTTCGTTAGTTTCCTTCCACATAATTCTTTCTCTGTATGTTACTTTCATCCCTCTTTTCCTTGTCACATTTATCCTTTCGCAGTACATGTCTGATTACTTCATCATCAG